TTACGTTTGATAATTTCATGTTTATTTGGTTTATGATGATTATTTGAAGTAGCAGTTTGTCGAATAAATTAAATTTCTCACTAATAGCTTCTTATTCTGTGTATAATTATTGATCACTCACTGATAATGTCCTACTCATAACGGATCGACTCCAGAATTTCAAGTCAGTTCATCTGATTTAAGAAAACTTTTCTCAGTAACCATTTAAACTTGTTTTTGACTCATCATGGAATGTTTATCGTATTTCTCTAAATTGCAAAACCGTTAGAATGCACTCACCAATCAGTTATTACTCATCAACCAGTTTCAAAGACCAATCATTCAGGCTCCCTGTCGCACTAGAAACTCATCAATAAAATAGCCGGTTTCTTGCGTGGTCGTCACTTAAACAATGTCTTATTTTCATTAATTCATCGAGTACGACTTGAGTGAATTCCTTCACAAAAAACTTCTATCATTCTCTTTACCTGATCTTTGAATTTCGCATGACTAAAATTGATCACCAAATATATCAATAATCAAAGGTAGAATTTTCTGAAGACCGATAATTCCCAACGCTATTGTTGTTAGCTGCGCGGAAAGATGGATGCCGAAGAAGGAAGAATGTGATATTTTTGATGTTTGTAATAACAGAGAGGCATAAACTCGTAATGAGTTGTTGGAATTGCTGATTAAATAAATATTTGCTTTGTGTAATCGGGATCACATTTCGCATGAATTATTCAGTCACTGTTTTGTCGATTGAATGAGTCCGCCTCTTCGTTATTGTTTGATGATCCGATGTCACTGACAAACAACACATTGCTACATTTGTAAACAAAATCTCAAGGTAGAAATCAGCACCGACAATGGGGCATTATAAGCCAAAGACTCTATGCCATGGCTAGAGCATCGAAGACGAGAAGTTTTTGCGTTGTTTTATTGTATTTCCAGTAAATGCTCATCTAGAAATATGATTCATCTGCTTTTTATTAGTATCTGACAAATGAGCGATTGAACGTATAAAATCATCGTAATCATCGTGATCTTGTTTAGTTTAGTTTGGTGTTCGATGGAAATTGCAGCCTTTTAAGTGTAAATGCTTTGACTTCATGAAATACTCGACAAAACAATTCCCTGTGAATATTTTCGAAATTTTCAAAAGAGTTCTCACGTTGTGTCATTCAAAAGACAATTGGACAGTTGAGAAACAATTTAAGCGAGTCAAAACCAACGAAATTTCCCATAGAAACGAGATGTTTGCATATGATTCAGTCATTCCAAGCTCAGCCACTGATCTTTTTTCTCAAAGCAATTTGTTTCAAAATAAAACAGAAATAAAATCACCGAATCGCAATTTTGACTATCGCCAAAGTCTTGTCATCATATCGTCCATTTCTCCTTCGTTCAGATTGTCAACTCTTTCAGCTCTCAGCGAATACGCACCATCACCGTATTTCAATGCAAGCAGCTGGAATAATTCTTGTAGCATTGGTAATATTTTTGACTATCGACTGTTTTTTTTGACTTTTGAACTTGTTAATCTTGGTCATGCTCAATGTTATTCTGCTGGTGTTTTTATAGGTTGTATATCAGCTACAACTGAATAAATTGCATGAAATTTTCGTCTATTTGTTTGATCAGAACTGGATTCTCCATTGATTCATGACCTTCCCATAAGTTATTTTTCCCAGAGCTTCATACTAAACAAGCCAGATATTTTCAGAACATCAAGTTTTTATAATTGACTGTTGCAGGTTGTTTATGCTGATGCGCAACCTCATCCTGGTCGTTGTCCGCGGTTGAACACGCCACCTCCTGAACCAACTGATGACAGTTGTCATTGGGTGGTTAAAGTGGATTTCCGTGGATGTCGTTATTATTTCGAAGAATGCTGGAAACCCAACATGTAATTTAACCGAATCATTGTATTGAATGAAAAATGACTGAGATAATGAATCGCTTAAGTAGATACAACAATTAGAACTGAGATTTTGAAACTGGCCTATCGAATGACCTATCGAATGCAAACTCTAAAGTGCTTTGATATAGAATTGATTAGATCGATAGATGCTCTGCGTTGCAACTTTCGAAACTGATAAAATGTAATCGTAAAAACCTAGTTAGCGAAAGAGTCCACATCACATGCTTGATGTAATCTCGGTTTGACAACTACGTGTACTGAACATCCATGCAGTAATAGTTTATCCATTACGATACGTGCAAAATATAAGATACTTATCGATATCAAAATACCACTCTTACGTATCGTTACAGGTGTACTGGAAAGAATGAAATGCTATGGATATGCTCATCGGAATGTCCACCAACATGTGCTGAAAAATGGCCTGGTTGTGGAGAGGTTATCACGATCTGTTTATTACCTTTTCATTGAACACTCTAAATTTGACTGATCGTGAATATGAATTTATCCGAAAACGCATGAATATCTCCACATTAACGAAACAAAACCGTCTATCTCCATAGATCAGATCTGAAACTTATTACCAGCATCAATAAACAGCAGATCAATTCTCAGGATCAGTGAAATCAGCGATCTAATTTGGCAATTCCGATAAAAACAATTGCAAACATAGGAAATTCTTTTTCCATGTTCTGAAATATTTACTTTGTCAAAAATTTCAGCAGTGTGGATCTCCGTGCTGCCAATGTGTTGGAGGCTATGTGCGTGATTCCAGAGGAGTTTGTATTCCGATACAAGACTGTCCAGATGAAAGTAATCTTATGATATATCACTCTATTTCACCTCAAAATGAAATTTGAATGATCTGCCCGATATAAATATCAATGTTATGCTCTGAAATCATCCTAGTATCCATCAGATTATCTTGAACAGAAGTGATTCCGAATGCGATGCATGGCTTGTTTTTCTTTGCACTTAGTTAAAGAAGATTCAACTGACTGTTATAGTACACACATTTCTGCTACTCTCTGAAATGCTATATCAAAATAGCTGTGCCGAGTGAGTGCAATATGCTCGCTTTATAAAGTCAGCGCTGAGTGAGTGCAATATACATCGCTTTATAAAGTCAGCGCTTCAATGAGTTGAAAACGAGCAGTCAAACAAGTGCAACTCACTGTGAAAGGAAATATGCGAAAATTATCAATGTATGCCACTCATACACGAGACTATACACATTAAATGCCAATGCCTTTCCGTATATATATGAAACGCAGATGGAACTTGTATAAAGAAAGTAAACTACCTGAAATGAAAATCTCTAATTTTATCCAGAATAAGCCCGTAGAATACATATGTACTTAGGTGATTTCCTCATCTAGACTTGCAATTAGCAAAGAAAGATTGAGATGCCCATTAGCATGTGGACTGCGGAAATGCGATTACCTCCCAGGATAGGTTCATGATGAAGGAAGATGTATACTTCGTGAACTATGTTCTTCCGTCAGTATATTTTAAGAATTATGGTCAAGGGAGATGTATTCTTCGTGAACAACGTCCTTCCATCGTTACGCACAAAACTGTCAACTCGTAGAACAACTCAGACTTATGAATCAATAGACCGAATATAATTCAGATCCTCCAGCTCTCTGTGGTCCAAATGAACGTTTCGTCAACTGTAGTTCATTGTGTGAGCCTACTTGCCAATCGAAACCCAACCAACCATGCCCATATGTATGTGGACCACCGAAGTGCGAATGTCTACCGGGATACGTTCGTGATCAAGGCAAATGCATCCTCCCGAAACAATGTCCATCTGCAGGTGAATGATTGATTCCTAAAAAACACTCGAAATGACCTGAATCATATAGCGTAAATTGACACATTTACCCCAAATCCACACAAAATTTACCACAATTTCATTCGTCTTTCTGCTCACGCTTCGATGAATATGTCAGCAATAATCTTCCCTATCATATAGATCCAACCTGTGGTCCAAATGAGGAGTTCGTGACGTGCAGTTCAGCGTGTGAGCCAACATGTGAATCGCCGCCTAACCAGCCCTGCATCTTGATGTGTGGCCCACCGAAGTGTCAATGTCGTCCTGGCTTCGTTCGTCACCAAGGAAGGTGTATTCTTCGTAGCCAATGTCCATCTGCTGGTACGTCTTGAACTTTTAGAAAGTAACCGCTATGCTAACACTTCAAGCTTATTGTACCCTGCTTTTCGAGTACTATATACATCTTCATCAGTTTTCCCGATTTCCACATCCTAAATTTGATGCTTACTGTTACTAACCTCATTATATAAGCAAGTAATTTCCATTCGTTGTTATTTAGACCCAAAACCGACGTGTGATCCAAACGAGCGCTTTGTGGAGTGCAGTTCATTGTGTGAACCTACCTGTGAATCGCCCACTGGTCAACCTTGCGTGAAAAAGTGTGGACCACCAAAATGTGAATGTCTTCCGGGATTTGTTCGAGATCACGGAAAATGTATACCGCCTGATCAGTGTCCATCTATTGGTGGGTCCTGACAGTTTCGATACTTTTGCTACAGCTCCTGAGTCCTTCTCAAATGTCCATCGCTTACGATTTCGCATGTGTACTTCACTGTTTTCTTAATTTTGTCTTCGGTCTGCGAATTGCATATTGTTACATCATTATTCTGGATCTTATTCCGGATATCGGATAAAATTTTATTCGGAACTCATTCCGGATAAAATCGGAGACTTTCATTTCAGTCATTTTACTTTCTTAATGCAAGTTCCATCTGCGTTTCATATATACACGGAAAGACATTGGCATTTAATGTGTATAGTCTCGATAACAACACACAAGCATTGCTTAAAACTGGTTACCATCTTGCAGTCGTAAAATATGAAAATTCTGGTAGACAAATCTAACCGCAACGATAGCCTGAAGATATTTCCATTGTAACATAAAAACAAAGATCACAGATAATCAGAGGAGTCAATAGATCTTGAAGTGAAGATTCCTTTGACGAATATAAGCAAACTTTCTTCAGCTGAAAGCAAGCTCGGACTAGTAAATAGAGATTATCTTTCATGATCTATGTAAATTTGGATTATCTTTGACTTATACATCGGTGATCATGGGGGATCTACTCTTCGCGAACAACGTCATTCCATGGATATGCACAAACATGTCAACCTGTTGAACGACTCAGGCTTATGAATGAATAGTCCAACTATAATTCAGGTCCTCCAGCTATCTGTGGTCCAAATGAACGTTTCGTCAACTGTAGTTCATTGTGTGAACCTACTTGCCAATCGAAACCCAACCAACCATGCCCATATGTATGTGGACGCCAAAGTGTGAATGTCTACCGGGATACGTTCGTGATCAAGGCAAATGCATCCTCCCGGAACAATGTCCATCTGCAGGTGAATGATTGATTCCTAAAAAACACTCGAAATGACCTGAATTTCACACCATAAATTGACACATTTACTCCAAATCCACACATAATTTACCACAATTTCACTCGACTTTCTGCTCACGCTTCGATGAATATGTCAGCAATAATCTTCCCTATCATACAGATCCAACCTGTGGTCCAAATGAGGAGTTCGTGACGTGCAGTTCAAAGTGTGAGCCAACTTGTGAATCGCCGCCTGACCAGACCTGCATCTTGATGTGTGGCCCACCGAAGTGTCAATGTCGTCCAGGTTTCGTTCGTCACCAAGGAAGGTGTATTCCTCGTAGCCAATGTCCATCTGCTGGTAGGTTTCGAGCTTTTAGAAAGTACCGTGATCCTAAAACTTCAAATTGAGAACTGAACATCACAGTCAGTGCTGGAAACTCAACCTAAAGTACCGTACAAACTATTGAATGACCTGAAAATACCGTTTATTCAGTCATAAAGCCACCTAATCAAGCTTGCAAACTCGCGTCTTGACCACCCATTTAAGGATATCTTGAGGTGTATATTATTTGTGAACAAAAACGTATCTCCCCTATTTATTGTAAACTGCCCTTAGTTTACAATATACATCTTCATCATGCTTCCCGACTTCACAAGCTCCCGGTTTCTCGACTGAATTTGATATTTATTGTTACTGATCTCATCATAAGGGCAAATAAATTCAATTTGTTGTTATTTAGACCCAGAACCAGAATCGACCTGTGGTCCAAACGAACGGTTTGTGAAGTGCAGTTCATTGTGTGAACCTACCTGCGAATGGCCCACTGGTCAACCTTGCGTGAAAAAGTGTGGACCACCAAAATGTGAATGTCTTCCGGGATTTGTTCGAGATCAAGGAAAATGCATACCGCCTGACCAGTGTCCACCTATTGGTGCGTCTTGAGAGTTTGGATATTTTTGCTACAGCTCCTGAGTCCTTCTCAAATGTCTATCGCTTACGATTTCGTAGATGCACTTCGCTGTTTTCTTTAATTATCTTCGGTCTATGAATTCCAAATTGTTGCATCACTGATGTAGAATCTGAATAAGCTGGTAGCCTCAGCGTGATGACATCAATCAGTAATTATAAATCGGCCAGCGTTGTCGATAATCTCATGAAGGAACGGAATAAATTGTTATTTGTGGTGTTTTCAAGTTAAAATTTGACTAACAAAAGCCACTAACAATATCAGATAAAAGTTTTGTTGAAATTGACACGCACAATCAAGCATTTCATTGAGACTTCAAAGCATTTTCAAACACTCTATTGCATTTTCATGTTCACTGAATGAATTTTCATTCTTTTCTGGGTTCTATTCATCCATCTCATTCTTTTATCAATTTCTTCACGTTTTCTCATTCCCTGCAAAAAACATTTCGCAATATTCTCATTCCATACAAACGACATTCTATGCACAATCTCATTCTATTCCACATTATGTTTATCATTGAAACTGACAACATCTGCAGATCAATTATAGAGCAAACGCATTGCTGTGAAAGAAATCAATCAGCACATGCATGTCATGCGTTGAATTGTATTCACAGCGATTTCTGCCCCAACAGTGGAAACATTTCAAGTGAAAAGGCTCCTAAAGAAAATGATAACCCATAAATGCATGAGATAAGATCTTACACTTAAAATCTGAAACATGAGCAGACGACTGTATATTTTAAATTCTTAGTGAATATGATTAACGACAGTGAGTCTAATATTAGATAAATTTCCCGAAATCACTTCTTGGATCAATGGAATTGACCAACGAAAGCATGTAGATATACCGTTTTCAATAGATGAAAAAAGTATCTGCTACAATGATTAATTAGAAAAATAAACCTATTCGAAGTATATGAGCTTGTCATCAGCGTGAGCTCGACATCCTAAAAATGCGAATACTCACCCAATTACTTATGTTTCAACCGTTTGGCAGTGAATGAAAGACAAGCAGTATGTCGCGAAATAAGGAGTTCTCATTGAGAAAAAGTGCTTTATATTGGGCTAGTTCCTTAGAGCATTTATTACACTGTCGATATTACTCATTTACAGACATTAATAAACTTAAAAACTTCAAGACCCGAGAAGGTAGATATTCATACACATAAGCCGAGCAATTCCCATCCAAGTATATGGTCACTCGTTTTGATAGATGAGATGTTTAGTTCGAATAGCATGAAACACTGATACGACATTGATCAAATATAGACTGCTGATAACTGAAACTGATATCATAAAATCCAGAAACTGAAAACACATATAAACGATCAGTTGGTTTCGAACGAACACTTTTGCCTCACCAACTTTTATTTATTTCCAAATCATTGATGCTTATAAATGGAACATCTCGAAAGAAAGATAAAATTTCCACATATCATACATATTATTGAGCATATTCAAGGCTCGCAAATGGAATATCCCAAGATATTGGGGCCTTTAACAAAAAACTGCTGTAGTTTTATAAATCAACTACTTCAAAATGAATGCAACCAACTATTTCTGTGCTTATATTTCTGGAACATCGTTGGATGTAAAGACAGATAGTTTGTGAAAAATGAAGTTTCCCTTAACAACACAAAAGCATTGCTTAAAACTGGTTACCATCTCTATCTTGCAATCGTAAAATATGAAAATTCTGGTGGTCAAATCTAACCGCAACGATAGCCTGAAGATATTTCCATTGTAACATAA